CGGTTTTAATTAATTGATTTGTTTCTTTAAAATTCTACGCAGAGGTCTCGTTTATTTTTGCGCCTATTATTTTTTTTGAATTTTATAGTTATTTTTAGTAGTTAATTTTTTTGTTGGTTCTTCACGTGATTCCCTCGTTTTGTTCTGCGCGCAATTTTTTCGTTTTTTTCAAGAACTTTTTATTGTTCTGGCGTACGAAGATCAATGGCGATTCAGTATAGATTACTTTCATTTCAAGTTCCCCTTTAATTAATTGATAATTAGTAATTAGGCAAAGAACAGACAGCATTGTTTTCTGAAGAAATTCAAATCGATAAAATCAATCTATAGATTACGATTCCTGATTCCTTAGTACAATTACATTGAATTACAACGTCATAAATGAAAAATCATGTGAATATCAAACGTGTATGGATGGCATACAAAAACACTAATTTATTTCGGCGTATTTTGCAAGCAAAAGATTCACATTTATCACTTCTAACGTCATAATCCAATGCTGCTGTTATAAAAACAAGAGCCTTAATATTGTTGTTTCTAAAATAACACGAAACGTGTATCTTAAAATTTAAATAATCCCGAATATTGACGAAAATATATGGTTTCGTTTAACTGAAACATAGATTGAGACTTTTATGGAACAATGACCTTAGTTCTTGTTTCAGTTGAACATACCTAATATTTCATTCAACTCTTAGAAGAAAATTCTTTCAAATTTCGTTAAAATAAATACTAAAAGAATATAAAGAAAAATGCTCTGTTTGCAATTTGTAAGTTAAAAAAAAAAAAAACGTTAAAATTCCAAATTTGTGCTAAAAGATAAAGTTATAGAGTCATACAATTGCGGCCAAAGCCCGCCGTTTATAAATGTAATGTATTCGCCGCGATAAATTCATGCAACAACCAATATGATTGCGATTTAATTATAGACAATTGTTGATACAACAATCGATATATGATTCAATATTAAAAACCGCGGCGTGCCTCGCTGAAAATATTTCACTTGGCTTGGTCGTTTTTTCGGCGGGATTTGACCTTGTCCTTTGATCTTTTGTGAATCTTTATCATCTTCGCAATCTCTCTCTCTCTCATTTCACTGTCTTTCTTCTATTGGCAACTGCCTCGTTTTTCTTTTGTCCGTGTGTATTCGTATTTTTTATGTCCTTCGTCTATATCAATCCTGACACACAGTTAACCCTTTAACTTACATTTAACTTCAAAGTTCAATTTAAAAAAAATTAAATCTACGAGTTAATTCTTTTTCAGTTGCGTTTATTAAAGATATTTTAATTGTTTCAATTAACTAATCTTTTCTAAAATTTTAATCTTTCATATTCTGAAATTAAAAATTAAAATGTAGCATAATTAATTAATTTAACAAGGTATTTATTGTATAATTTCGAATTTAAAATTATACAAAACTAGTTTCAAATATTTTAAATATTGCAATTGTTAATTTAAAGAAATCCCTAAAAATAAATATTTATCAAAAATTTTAAATGTTCAATTTCTTCAAAATTAGAACTAAAATTTCACAAAATCTTTTTTTTCTTAAAATTTTAAATTCATAAATTAAAGATTTAACTTTTTTAAATATGTATTTAAATCAATTATTTCTAAATTTTAAAAGAAATATATTAAAGAGAGAAATCTAAAATGAATTTGTAAAAAATGTTTATAGCTTAAATTTGTAATATATTTGAGATTTTTGATCCTTCCTTTCAGAGATCTCTGGATTTTCGATTAAATAGATTTTAGGTTTTTGATTTTAAAATATCATTAGAGTCTACAAATGCTACGATTTTTCTATATAATATA